ATTAACCCGAACATATATGGTCAATTAATATTTGATAAAGGAGCCATGGACATACAATGGCAAAATGACAGTCTCTTCAACAGATGGTGCTGGCAAAAATGGACAGCTACATGCAGGAGAATGAAACTGGACCATTGTCTAACCCCATACACAGAAGTAAATTCAAAATGGATCAAAGACCTGAATGTAAGTCATGAAACCATAAAACTCTTAGAAAAAAACATAGGCAAAAATCTCTTAGACATAAACATGAGTGACTTCTTCATGAACATACCTCCCCGGGCAAGGGACACAAAAGCAAAAGTGCACAAATGGGACTATATCAAACTGAAAACCTTCTGTACAGCAAAGGACACCATCAATAGAACAAAAAGGTACCCTACAGTATGGGAGAATATATTCATAAATGAGAGATCCCATAAAGGGTTGACATCCAAAATATATAAAGAGCTCACACACCTCAACAAACAAAGAGCAAACAATTCAATTAAAAAATGGGCAGAGGAGCTGAATAGACACCTCTGTAAAGAAGAAATACAGATGGCCAGCAGACACATGAAAAGATGCTCCACATTGCTTGTCTTCAGAAAAATGCAAATTCAAACCAAAATGCGATATCACCTCATACCAGTAACAATCGCCACTCTCCAAGGACAAACAACAACAAATGTTGTTGAAGTTGTGGAGAAAGGGGAACCCTCCTATACTGTTGGTGGGAATGTACATTAATTCAACCACTGTGGAAAGCAGTATGGAGGTTCCTCAAAATTCTTAAAATCGAAATACCATTTGACCCAGGAATTCCACTTCTATGAATTTACCCTAGGAATGCAGCAGCCCAGTTTGAAAAAAACAGATGCACCCCTATGTGTATTGCAGCCCTATTTACAATAGATAAGAAATGGAAGCAACCTAAGTGTCCATCAGTAGATGAATGGATAAAGAAAATGTAGTACATATACACAATGGAATATTATTCAGCCATAAGAAGAAAACAAATCCTACCATTTGCAACAACATGGATGGAGCTAGAGGGTATTATGCTCAGTGATGTAAGACAGGTGTAGAAAGACAAGTACCAAATTATTTCACTCATATGTGGAGTATAAGAACAAAGAAAAACTGAAAGAACAAAGCAGCAGAAGTACAGAACCCTTGAATGGACTAACAGTTACCAAAGGGAAAGGGGACTGGGGAGGATGGGTGTGAAGGGAGGGATAAGGGCTGGGAAAAAGAAAGGGGGCATTACAATTAGCATGTATAATGTGTGTGGGGGGTACCAGGCAGGTTCTATAACAGAGAGAGGACAATTAGTGATTTTACAGCATCTTACTGTGCTGATGGACAATAACTGTGAAGGGGCATGTGGGGGGGGGGGGAGTTCGTGAAGTGAGGAGCCTAGTAGACATAGTGTTCTTCATGTAATTGTAGATTAATGATACCAAAATAAAACAACAACAACAAAAATACCTAAAGAATCCACTCTAAAACTACTAGTTCTTATGTCTGAATTCAGCAAAGTTGCAGGATACAAAATTAATACACAGAAATCTGTTGCTTTCCTATATACTAATGATGAACTAGCAGAAAGAGAAATCAGTAAAGCAGTTACATTCACAATTGCATCAGAAAGAACAAAATACCTAGGAATAAACCTAACTAAGGAAATGAAAGACTTATACTCTGAAAACTACAAGACACTCATGAGAGAAATTAAAGAAGAAACCAATAAATGGAAATACATCCTGTGCTCATGGAGAGAAGAATTAATATTTTAAAATGGCCATCCTGCCTAAAGTAATCTACAGATTCAGTGCAATCCCTTTCAAAATACAGCATTCTTCAATGAACTATTGCAAATAGTTTTAAAATTCATACTAATGACAAAAGACCCTAAATAATCAAAGCAATCCTGAAAAGGAAGAATAAAGCAGAGGGAATTACGCTCCCTGACTTCAAGCTCTACTACAAAGCCACAGTAATCAAGACAATTTGGTAGTGGCAGAAGAACAGGCCCATAGAACAGTGGAACAGAATAGTGAGTCCAGATATAAACTCAAGCATTTATCACCAATTAATACGATAAAGGAGCCATGGATATACCATGGGGAAATGACAGCCCCTTCAACAGCTGGTATTGACAAAACTGGACAGCTACATGTAAGAGAATGAAACTGGATCATTGTCTAACCCCATCCACAAAAGTATACTCAAAATGGATCAAAGACCGGAATGTAAGTCATAAAACCATAAACCTCTTAGAAGAAAATATAGGCAAAAATCAATTGGACATAAACATGAGCAACTTCTTTATGAACATGTCTCCCTGGGCAAGGGAAACAAAAGCAAAAATGAACAAGTGGGACTATATCAAACTAAAAACCTTCTGTACAGCAAAGGATACCATCCGTAGAACAAAAAGGCATCCTACAGTATGGGAGAATCTATTCATAAATGATATATCTGATAAGGAGTTGATATCCAAATTATATAAAGATCTCATGCACCCGAAGAAACAAAAAGCAAATAAGCCCATTAAAAATGGGGCAGAGGAGCTGAACAGACAGTTCTCCAAAGAAGTAATTCAGATACCCAATAGGCACATGAAAAGATGCTCCACATCGGTAATCATCAGAGAAATGCAAATTAAAACCACAATGAGATATCACCTCACACCAGTTAGGATGACCAAAATCCAAAAGACAAACAACAACAAATTTTGTCACAGATGCGGAGAAAGGGGAACCCTCTTACACTGCTTGTGGGACTGTAAACTAGCTCAACCATTGTGGAAAACAGTATAAAGTTTCCTAAAAAAACTCAAAATAAAAATACCATTTGACCCAGGAATTCCACTTCTAGGAATTTACCGTAAGAATGCAGCAGCCCAGTTTGAAAAAGACATATGCACTCCTATGTGTATTGCAGCACTATTTACAATAGTCAAGAAATGGAAGCAAGCTAAGTGTCTGTCAGTAGATGAATGGATAAAGAAGATGTGGTACATATACACAATGGAATATTATTCAGCCAGAAGAAGAAAACAAACCCTACCATTTACAACAACATGGATGGAGCTAGAGGGTATTATCCTCAGTGACATAAGCCAGGCAAAGACAAGTATCAAATGATTTCACTTATCTGTGGAGTATAACAACAAAGATAAAACTGAAGGTACAAAATAGCAGCAGACTTACAGCACCCAAGAATGGACTAACAGTTACCAAAGGGAAAGGGACTGGGGAGGGTGGGTGGGAAGGGAGAGATAAGTGGGAAAATGGGACATTACGATTAGCATACATAATGTAGGGGTGGGGGAGGACACGGGAAAGGCAGTTTGTACAGAGAAGACAAGTAGTGATTCTATAGCATCTTACTACGTGGATGGACAGTGACTCTAATGGGGTATGTGGGGCGGAGTTGATAACGGGGAAGTCTAGTAACCATAATGTTGTCCAAGTAATTGTATATTAATGATATCAAAATAAAAAAATAAATAAAAATAAAAAGTTCAGTGGAAATTACAGAAATTAGCATTATTGTATCTGAGGACTGATCAACAGAATATACCCAATCTGAGTAATAGATGGAAAAAAAGAACAGATCCTTCTTTCCTCAGGGAATTTTAGAAGAATAACATAAGTTCCAAAATTCCATGCTGTTGGAGTCTCAGAAAAAGGAGAGTGGAGGTGAAGCAGTATAATAAGAAATGATGGCTTAACATGTCAAAAATTTGGTGAAAAATATAAACAGAGAGTCTAGAAAATGTGTGAAGCACATATATGACAAACCCAAATAAATCTATACCAGGACACATTATAGTCAATCTTCTATAGCTAAAAACAAATCGTAGAAAGCAGTGAGATCAAAATGACACACTGACTATAGAGGAACACCAATTTTAGTGACTGTAAATTTCTCATCTGACAAATAGGGGCCATAGGAAGTGGTATAACATTTTTTAAGGGTTGAAAAGAGTACTTTAACTATGAATTTTGTATCCAGCAATACTATCGTTAATGATGCAAGAGAAAGACATTCTCTGGCAAAGGAAAATAAGGAGTATTTGTCACTAGCAGATCTATGCTCAAAGAATTTAAAGTAGGTGCTTAAAACAGAAAGGAAACTGTAAAGGGAGGATTCTGAGAGCATCAGAAAGGAATAAGGATAGTAGAAAGAGCATATATATGGGACGTACAATAGATTTTCCTTTTCCTCATCTTACAGAAATCATACCACATGACTAAAACAAAATTATAAAAATCACATGAAAATCTAGGTGATTTTGTTCAAAAGTGGGAAAAGCAAAGGGACCTAAATGAGAGTGAGGTTTCCACACTTCAATCCCAGTGATGATAACACTGGATACCTGCAGAGTGTGATATAAGTCACATCTGTATATAGTAAATCCCAGAGCAACCAAAGAGACAATTCTACAGAGCAAAACACTCAAAAACACTATAGAAAATCAAACGTGTTCAAGGTAAGGCACAGAAAGGCAAGGAGAGGAACAGTTTTACAAAAGAAAACAAATAAATTGGCAAATACTAGCATATCAATACTTAGCATAATGTAAATTGTCAGCGTCAACTAGAAGGTAGAGATTGTCAGTATCAGTAAGACAACCAAGCTATAAATTTATATGAAAATCATTTCAGTGATGTAGGCAAATTAAATATAGAATTATGGAAGATGTCATATCAAACAAATACTAATTAAAAAGAAAGTAGTATATTAATTACATAAAGTAGACTTCATCACAACGAAAATTAGTAGAGATAAAAACAAATCATTATATAATGATTTAAAAAAATCAATCGTCCACGAGGATTTTTTCCTGATCTCTCCTATCCATCCCTCCTATTGGTGCACATGGGTCTTTCTCTGTGTTCCAGAGCCAACTGTTCTTACCCCTGTAGAGCAAACTGTTTTGGTTATTATATTTTTGTACAAGCGACCCTAACAGATTGTAAGTGCTTTGGAAAGCCTGATCCATCTCCACATCTTCAGAGTCCAGCACAGTGCTTAGTGCCTAGCAAGTGCTCGCTAAATAATTGCCTTATGACTGCAATTCAGGCTAGTAAAATCTGTTTTGATAGAGTCAGAGGAATGGTCTCTTTACATCACATTCAATAAGCGGTCAATCGGGTTGATGCAATGAGGCTGCTGACTAACTAGGAAACGAGGGGCGGTGGGCACTCGCTTGGAAGGCTGCGGGAGCCTTGGGCAGAGTGGGGGGCGGTGCAAATGCTCGCCGCGGGGGCGAAGGCGGCCTGGGGAGCCTCGCGGTGGGGAGGCGGCCGGCGGCGGCCAGGAGTGATGTGGCCAGGCTGCGTCGGAAGCGCTGGTGGCAGCGGGCCCGGGAGGCGAGCTCCTGAGCGCCGCGGCCATCCCCGCAGCCGCCGGCGCCCGCAGCAGCCCCCAGTGAGATGGACCTGGGAGCGCAGTGGGAGCGCTGGGAGACGTCCAGTAAGAGGCAGGGCCTCAGCCGCGCAAGGAGCCGCCAAGTTCCTGCTGGACACCTTCGAGTACCTGGACCTGGTGTATCACATCGGGGGCTGCCACTGCGGCGCGGTCCGCTTCGCGGTCTGGGTCCCTGAAAACCTGCGCATGGTGGATTGCAGCTGCTGACTGTGCAGGAAGAAGCAGCACCGACACTTCCTCGTCCCGGCCTCGCGCTTCACGCTGCTCCTAGGCGCCGAGAGCCTCGTCACCTATCGATCCCACTCGCACCCGGCGCTGCACAGCTTCTGCAGCAGGTGGGGAGCGCAGATTTTCCACGCGTCGGTCTCCGACCCCAGGGTTTATGGCGTCGCCCCCAGTGCCTGGACGCGGGCACCGTGCGCAGCGTGGTCATTGAGGAGGTCGATGGTGGCAACTGGGGGAAGGAGGTCCCCAAAGAGTACAAGGCCATCCAGAACGTTTACCCCGAGTGAGCCCCTGCCTCCCCTCCAGGGCCTGGTGCTGCAGCAGGCCTGCTACGTGCCCAAGTGCCCCTCGAGGGAGCCACCTCAGTGCTTGTGAAAGGATCATTGTGTGAAAGAGGTCTCTTTCTGGGCTGGTGAACCTGTCATGTCTCTCCAAGCTTCTAGCCTTTCCCTTTAGTGATTTCGAACAGGTTTGCTTATAATCAAAACTGAGCTCACATTTGTCTGTGGACAACGGTAGGCTCCCAATGCAATAAGCAAGTAGGGTCTCCACTTTTCAAGTCCTCTTTTACAGCACTCAGTTTTATTATTCTCCTTACAGTTTTCACAAATCATTGGCAGATAATTCACATATACTGTACGCTTATGGTGCTCTTGTGAACAGGATTGTTTTTAACAGTTGCATCTGGTATATAGGACATTACATTCAAACAGTTTTGTAGACATTTCTTAGGACAAGTTCTATTAATTATCTGTGTGTGTGTGTGTGTGTGATGTATGCACTCCACATTTTTGGTACTTAGAGATATGCATCATTTTGAGCCACATTGTTTATTTAATGTGTTTTTATAGCATATGTTTAAGATTTATTAGTGTTGCATACCTCATTGTGCTTATTTTTCCAATGAAGTTGGCATTTTGTGTAGTTTTGTTTTAGAAATTCCCTCTGGGTAGGGGGACCGAGGAGACAGAAGAATGAGGAAGATATCTGTGTACTGTATGCACTCTCTGATGTTTTGAATTTGCTGTCTTGTACATGTGTTAAGTATTCAGAAATAAGGTATTCAGAAATAAATCCTTATTAAGTAGAAAAGTATGTATTTCTATATTGTGTATTATAAAATCATTATTTTTATGTAATTTCTTGATACCTGAGATTTTTATCCAACAATTGGTGGGGTGCCTTTTTGTGTTAAATAATAATATATAAATATCATGGTCTAATAGCTTAACAGGATATAAAAATGTGGATCTCCATAACTTATTCAAGCAGTGTCTTCTAATGTTTTTTTCCCCAGCTTTGACTATAATAGTAATATTTCAAAAGAATCAAGTAAAAATAAACACCTTCAATGCTCTCTCATTTGGATGAAAGGGCATGCAGCTCTTTCCATCTGTCTTTTTATTGCTGTCTGTCTCTCTTATGTACATATTTTCATTAGATGTGCATATAATATGCATTGAATTATATAACTTGATTTATCCATCAACAGATTTAAAACCAATTAAGGAGGTATGAAATAACATGACTGTGCTATCACACAGAGAAGTTATCATCCTTCAGTTCCTACCCCTCATTTTCCATTATCTCCCACACCAGACTAGAGGGAAGGAATTTAAGTCCTGGCTTCTCTAACATAACCTCCAGTTATTTGGAATGGCTTGATTCAGTTATTCACCCCTTCAGAGGTTGATCTGAGGTAGAAAATGGGGAGAGGGGAAGGGAGAACATGAATATGCATGTATGCTCCAGAACTTTCAGTTATGTTAGTGATCAGAAAATACCATTTGCACCTAGAATTACACCTATATGTTACTCCGTTGTATGGATGGGGTCCAGATAGAGGAAAAGAAAATGGCTCAACTCTCCATACTTCTGCCATGCTTGTGTTTCTTTACAAAGAAATGTGGGTATATATTATTTTTCTCTTTTTCTAACAGTGACTTTTCTTTCAAAATGAGTACTATTTTCTGCTTCTCAATGCTAGGAGTTTATTGGGCTAAAAACTCATGTTCAAGAGTTTCAGACAGCATAGTTAACCCAGCATACAATTTATGGGACCTAAGCTTGTTTCCATGGGTGAGAATGCAGGGGAAAGTTGTGTCTGTGAAAAGGAATGGAGAGAAGGGTAGAACCTGAGGCTGGACAAGGTGTTGGGGAAAGGGGAACTTTGTCAGCTGCCTTGGGATGGTATTGGAAAAGGTTGACCTGTGAGCTGGACCCCAGCCATCAGAGGCTCTTCACCTCCTCCCCTATCCTTGTAATGTGGGTTCTGCCTGCCTTCCCCACTCCCAGAGGCTGCCTTAAGGACATAGTCTTGAAATAGTGATGTGGTGTTGAGACCATCAGGACTGTAAATGTGACTGAATCCAGTTAAGGCCTCTGTATAAACTTCTGAGATTTGGTGGAGGGGCTGGGGAGATGCTACTCATCTTGTGGCTGCTCAAGTCAAGCCTTATATATAAGTTCCCTCGCTTATTAAACCTGCCACCTACCAATCTGGAATGGCCTGCCTCTTTCCTGCCTGCGCATAAGGGAGCTAGTTTGACACCACACCTGGGAGGCTCCTGAGGAGCTTGCTGGACAACAATTGACTGCTCAGCCAGGAGACTGAAAAAATGGGTCTTGCAAAAGAGGTATCTGCAGGGGAAATATCAAGTTGGCCATCCACTTCTGTGTGGAGAGGGGTGGCTTATACAAGCCTCTTAAGTTTCCTCGCCTTGGCAAAAAAGCATCCATGGGGGAACCCCAAGTTGCCCAATACTTCCATGTGGGGAGGGGTGGTCCATATGTCAGATGCATGTGAACCACTGTGTGAGTATGAGGGCACCCTGTAAATACTGGCTGCTATAAAGTGCCTACTTGGGAAACTGCATATAGCAGACTGTGGTAAAGACAACCCCTGGGAAAGTGATGAGAGTGAAGAGGAGGGTGTTGTGGTGAATGACAGTGAAACAGACTAAATGCCCCGGGCCCTTCAACCCCCAATACAAAGGAAAGCAAAACAGCAGCCTCACCAGTGGGCAGTTCCCAGTTCAGGAAACATTCACAATGAGAGAACATACTCCCCTTGAGCTTGTTGATAGAGCTGCCAAGTTCCAGCAAAAGGCCAGGGAAAGTATCCAGGCATGGTTAATGTGGCTGTATGATATGGGGGCCAATGGCATTTCTGTGACTAGGCAGGAGGCAGAGAAAATGAGCACCATTACCACATGCCTGCCCTCCTGCAGCACCTGCATGGCACTCGGTGGTGGGGGGGGGTTCAAGGTACTCACTCCTTATACCTGTATTATTCTAGCCTATAGGGAGGCTTGGCCCAATGAAGGGGATCTCCCTGGGCAAGCAGAACACTGGAAATTTATAGAAGAAGTACAACAAATTCTTAGAGACCTGGAAATGGAATGCAGCCCTGTTTTTGAAGGCCCTAATCAGGTCACATTCACTGCAGGAATAAACACTAAGATTATCTGGTCTGCCCCCAGCACGGCATATGGGACACTGATATTCATGCTGAGCCCAGTTGTGAGACAGGACATTTATGATGTTGGGCAATCCATTGCAGATCTGGAGAAAACTGACAAATCTTGGAAGTGAATATGGGTGAAGGGAAAGAAAGACTCAAGACAGAGAGGGAGGTGAGAAAGGCTTAAAATCTGCCCCATCTTCCCCACCATTCATATGCCCCACATACTCCAGAAGAGGCCTCAATCTTATAGCCCTTTTCAGGATGGGTGCCTCCTACACACTGTGTATAGGATGTAGGTAAAGATTGTCTCCAAGTGAGGGCCATTGGAGACAATCAGAGGCCTCACGTTGAGCTCACTACTCACTGGTCCTCCAGAAATAAACAGAAGCTGATTGCTCATGGCTGATGATGGTGGACTACCAAAAACTGAACAAGACAGTGCCCCTCATCCATGAGGCTGTGCCCAACCTTCCCACCATCTCAGATACATTGACCTTGGTCCCGGGAGTGTACCATGCTGTGCTGGATTAGCAAATGCCTTTTCCATCATGCCCCTGTTCACTGTGTCACAAGATCAACTTGTCTTCATGTGGGAGGGACAATGAACCTTTCACGTGCTTCCCCAAGGCTACCTGCCCAGCCCCGCCATGTGTCTTGGGTTGGAAGATGGGGACTGCCCCTGTTCTCCTTCCCCACATCAGTAAAATGGGCCTATTATGTTGATGATATTTTAGCATGTGAAGATTTGTCTCTGCTACAAGACAACCTGCATCATTTTCTGGAACATCTGCAAGGAAAATTATGGGCAATTGGGCAGAGAACCCACAGAGGTTTCAAGACCCAGGCACTACCAGAAGATTTTGCGAGTTATTTCATTGAGTAAGATGCATGTTTTTCCTAATAGTGTGACTGATAAGGTGCAAGCCTATCCAACTCGCAAAATGTGTAAGAGGTGCAAGCCTTTGTATGGATTTTGGGGTGAGGAGAACTTTTATTCCCACATGGCCCACTGCCTCTGTCCCTTTTACTTCCTGGTAAAGAAAGGGCACGTGTGGGAATGGGGATCAGGACAGCAAGCTGCCTTTGAAAGGCAAAAATACTAGTGAAGCAGACTGAAGCTCCAGGCATCTCCCAGGCAGAGCTACCATTTGAGTTAGATGCATCTGTGACTCCAGAATCACGAGTTGGGCACTGCGGCAGAGACGATAGAAGGGAGCATGCCTCCTAGGATTTTGGTCCCAGCTCTGGAAGGAGACAGAAACCTGATAAGAGCCCCTCGAGCACAGCTCCTAGCAGCGTTCACAGTGCTCCTCTAGGTAGAGCCTCTCCCAAGGCGGCCAGTGCAGCAGCCAGTGGGCTGAGCTCAGAGAGGTCAGACTGGTGATCACTCATGAGCCCTGGCCGTTAACCCTTTGCACTGACAGTCGGGCTGTTCCAAAGGGATTAACCTTATGGCTTGGACAATAGGAAGCTGTGGGGTGGACGGTCATGAAGAAGCCCTTCTGGGGTCAGGGTGTGTGGGGGGATGAAGGGGACAGCCTTTGTCTTCTCACATGTTTGAAGGCAGAATGGGAAAGTACCTTCCCCCATGTCTGAACGCAGCATGGGAAAGCACCACCTTGAGAATGACTGGTGCAGTCCTTGGAAGTTATCTGCCCACAAAAACATATCTTGTCCTTGAAGACGAGCCAAGATGCCTCACTCTGAAAATAGGGAGACCTTAAGGATGTGTGAAAACACTGCCCCTGCTTACCAGGCAGCTTCTAAGAAAATCAACAAGGTGCTCTGGCCTGCCCCCCAGAGAAGGGAAAGATGAGTATAGCACTTGGCTGAGGTCCGAGAAAGGCAGTATAAAAATAAAGGTGCTGTGCCAGATCGGGGCTGCAGCCATTGTCTGTCTGTCTGTGTTGTCTGTGTTATTTGTTTTCTCATGTCACCCAAAGAAAATGTGTGGCACACTAAGGGGGATGTTTGGGTCCACCAGCAGGAGTCTGAGGCACACCTCACTGTTTACAGTGTCCTGGCTCATAAGACACTGACAGCCCCTGGAAATCAGGAACTGATGTCCTAACTCAGTTACTAGCCCTAGCAACTGACCCTTCAGTAGATACAGCAGATTGGATGCATAGGAAGAGTGGCCATCATTCCACCCAGGTGAAATGGTGTATTGCTAAGGATGCCTGATTGCCCTTGAAATACAGTGACACAGTCAATGAAGTAACAGCATATCTTGGGTGTTCTAAATAACTCCCAGAGTAACTACCAAGGAGTCTGGGGTCACCCACTGGAGTCCCCAGCCAGTGAGGGATTGGCAAATTGATTATATTGGTCCTTTCCCTCTAAGTGTGGGCTCTAAATATGCCCTGGTTTGTGTGAACACTGCATTTGACCCAACCCAATCTCTTCCATCTCTGTGCAAAGCAGGCTGCCACCATTTGGGAATTAGAGAAACTGAGTACTATGTGTGGATACCCTCATCAACTGGATAGTGATCAGGGGTCACATTTCAAAGTCATGATGTGCAAGATCAGGCAAAAAAACATGCTGTTCAGTG